GGTGTTTCGGGAGTATGGGGGGCTGGGGCTGGGGCTGGTGTCACATGCTGTATTTGTGGAGCAAGAGTCATGTCCGCATTCACAGAGTTAAATCGAGCCTGTTGAAGTCCTTATGAGTTGTATTTTTGAGTTAACTTTAATATGACCTTATGCATCTGAACAGATTTACTTTGGAGCTATTAATTAAGAGTATATTTTCAAAAAAAATCAAAACAGAAATTAGATAACATATAAGGAATATTTAGGGGTGTACCTATTGTTGGGAAGAATTGTAAGGAGGGACATTGGCTATTCTATACAGTATATGTATTCCCCAATCCTGGTAGCAGCAATCCAGTTTGTTTTATAGGTCACCTGTTTGAGATTGGCACCTGTAAAATACTGTGTTCCCTGATGGTAAAAGAGTACTTGAATTGTAATCCTAAATGATTTTTAAATAACCTACTATAATTTAATAATCACCTATTTTATTATTAAAGTTTATTAAATTATTAAAGTTATTTAAAATATACCTCCTGGACTAGGTCTCTCTAGGACCAGGGTTGGAGACCTCTGTTTTATACTGAGCTGAAGAAAAACAAAAAACAGTTGAGCATTATGCTAACCTTCACCAACATTGTATACATTTTGAGAATCTTTTCCACAAATCTTAAAAGTATACATGTATTCTGAGGACTCAAAGTCTCAAAAGATGAATGTTTACACGGAGTGCAGGTTGTGCACTTACAGTCCAGGCATTGCTGGCCTGGGTTTAGGGAACACCTACAGTATACCTGAGGCTGCAGCACACAGCTAGCTGAGCCCTGCCAGGACATGGTGTTTTTGGTTCATCAAGGAAGAGTGACCCCATAGGACTTGTTTTTATTACCAATAAGAAGCAGTGTCTTTTCCGGGATTGATGCTAACTTACTTGTGGGGACGATGAGAACAGCAATATGAAAATGTCAGGTGACTGGGACAATTATACATTTTACAGGAAAGTATGTAGTGTCTTGGCCCCTCAGAGGGTTGTAGCAATAAATGTAAAAGTTGGTGTTACAATATTTTTTTCTAATGAGAAATATAAATGGTGGTTTACAATTTTAAAGTAGACAAATACCCACATTTCATGCCTTTGATCATCATATTTATGCACTGCTTATCTGTGTTTGAAAGGGGCATCATTTTACTCAGATGACGTGCAATAACATTGAAACCAGAAAGACTACAACTGTATGGAAATAAACATTAAAGTGACTGAAAATGAGCTCTCCTGGCAAATAATCAGGATTGACAAGTATTCAAATGAATAATAATTGTAAAATATCTGATTTCAATCATTAGTATCAAATATACAGCATGTAATTTGAGACTCTTGAGAACTTAAAAAACTGCAGTTCATGCAACACTGCTTTATCAATACCTGATGTTAAATAGCTGTCAATTCCATTTTCCGAAATAGTTGGTCTGTCAGCACCTGAACAGCAACTATATTGAACTGAAATAATCACTGTAATTGTCAATATAACAAGTGGAAGGTATAATATGGATTTTTTTCTTAAATGGGAAAACAGTTATAGATAATGTTTTGAAGGCTGATACTCTTGTAAATAATTTGGGTAACATTAAAGAGAAAGTGAAACCTTGGAGTAATGACTTTTTTCTCAAATAGCTGCAGGCAAAAATTCCCAATGTACCTTAATAAGTTTGTTCATCACCAAGCAGCAGTAAACATGAATATTAATAGTCTCAGGATTGCATGTGAAAATACAGATATGTCAAACAAAGTTGAAAGCAAACTCACAATTTGGAATAGAATGTTTTGACTCCACAAAAGGATTCACATATTTAACATACTGTAGATGTTGTCTACTGATCCAATGGCTGGCCATCAAAACAGAATGAGGCAGGGGTTTATCACTTCAAGGCAAGGACCAAGGGAGGGCTAACAGACAACTCTGTGATTTTTGAGTGACGCACTGTGTAATGATTCACGCATCCTACAGAGTAGTTGGGATTATGATACATTTAGTGATAAATGTAGTGCATGCTAATAAACAACCTCTAATTCAACATCAGGATGCCGGCCAAGTGTTAATCCTTCTACTCTACTCATGTCTGACCTGTAGGTAAATAGTCTATGTCTGCCTCATGGCATTAAAACAAGAACTAATAAGTCATTTAATATGCTGCATGGATTTACAGTACCTTTACTCCATACTGTATATCTCTCTGTATATTAAGCTTAAATATAGTATGTGTTCTAATTAGTACATAACTGCATGAATTCACAGATTTAACCTATAATGACACGCCAAAGAACTTGTCTTTACTATTTGTGTAGCAATTCACACACTATGTGGAAATCCTGCTGATCTTTTAAAAGTAAAAAAATAAGAAGTAAGCGAAGAAACTTGTGCCTTTTAATATCAACTTTTCCAAGTATTAACTTTTAGAATGCATCTATAAAGGTCACAGGGAAGGAAATTTAACTAGGTGCCATAATGTGGCAAGAGAATAAAAATTAATGGCTGAAATAAATTGTCATTAGAGGGGCCAGGTTCTGATTTATTGTGATATTCTACAAGTTTTTGGAGGGGATTAAGAGTCCCCTAAAAAAGGAACATTAACAAGTCACATAAAAAGCAGAATTAAACCAGCCCCATAATATGCGTGGGGTATAAAGAATCACGAGAGAAATAAATTGTCCAGGAATGATACTGTTTAAGTTTTATTCTGACAGACCGCCTTGACGGGAGGATCCTGTTTTAATTTTTAAGGATCGGGTCCGTTTTTGGAGTTCATTAAAGGTCCTCATTAACAGATCTCATAAAAAATGAAAAGAAATTAGGGGCCATAATTTGACAGAAGAACTAAGGCAACAATAATGACAGGAAATAAACTGACAGAGGAATGATAAACTTAATGCTTCACTCCAGTTTCCTCTATTAGGTGTCTGCTGGAGCAAATGTCATTCATATTTTAGCCACAGTATACCGCTAATTAGGTCTGGCTTTCTGCTCTTGAATTAAATTTCAAGATTCCCCCCTCACCTTAAGAGCAAAATCATTTGAATTCAAAAGAAAAGAGCTAGTGACAGGGAAGAAAAAAAAAACTTTCTTCTTGGGTCGTTTTAATGAGATAAAATTCCCGCTTCTCCCCATTTCCCTGCTATAATTGCTGATTATGTTGTTACACACTAGCAGCTCTCTACACTCTCCTCCCAATCATTATGATTTAGGCTGGCATTTCGTGGTGCTTCAAAGGCAGACTGAAGTGGTTTGAGTCTAATTTTGCACTCCTTTAGGCCACAGGTATGAACCAAGGTAAACACTGCATGGTTATTGTTAATTACCCCTTAGGCCTAGCCAGGCCAGCTCTGTTCCAGCTGACCCCTATGATAATAAAGCTTAGGGGCATATTGTATTTCTTTTGACAGATTAATTAGAAATTCAGCTGTAGAGGCACAAAGCAACTCTGCCATGAATATTTAAATAGACTGACACAAAAAAATCATGAAAGGCCTGCTGAACTACATGACAGACAGGGGATATTAGGCAAGTGATTCTAATCAATAATCTCTTGATCTCTTACATATTAATACACTGCCTGCTGTTATTAAGCTCCATAATAAGAAGGTGGGGGGGAAGGGGGGAGATGGTAGGGGGGAGAAAGTTAGTGTAGCTCTGCTGTAGGCCTTGCTCGGCCCCTGGTGGATACACTAACTGACTGAGAAAATGCACAGAGGAACCAAACCTCAGCCTCTTCAATCTAATCCAATCTTAAGGACTGGCAGCTCTGAGCATCACTGACTGGATAATTATTGGCCCTGACAAGGTGAAGGCGTTTGCAGGCAAATGAGATAGGAAGTGGGATAAGTCCCCAGACCACCCAGAGCTGGGGCAGGCTTTAGAACTGGTGACGAGCTGCTGCTCAGGCTTGTATCTGCACTAACAGGGGAAATTTGGGAATCATAGTGCTTTTGAGTGATGTTGAAGGGTCAGTGACAGTCGATCGCTGGGAGCTTGTTGTTACTGTTGTTAATGTTAACTTTAACACCAAGTCAACTGGATTTACCCAAGGTCCCACTGCTCATCTCCTAGAACACCAAGGCCACTGAATGAATAAAACAGCACACTAGCTACCAGCAATGTAATATTTTACATTTGTAATGCTTAAAAAAAAGAGCAGGAAAAAAAGTCTTAAACAATTACGGATGTGAAGTAAAGGAAACATGTTGGATGGATTGCAATTTAATCTAACACAGCCAGTATGTTTTTATTCATCTAGGGACACAGGGCTGGGCTACATTTTCTTTAAGTTAAGGACTGTACAAGCTTATTATACTTGATTTATATCTGTAGGGTTGCATTGCTTAAGGATGTAGAATATTTTTTAAATCAAATTACACTCAGTCAGTAAAAGAGATGAATGGATACCACAGAACTTTAAATTTGGTATTGTGAAAATATCCTTCTCACTCCTCTCACACTGCAACATGAAAGAGGGCATGTTAATAGTACGGCTAAATTCTTGTGAGGAAAATCCTTTGTGAAAGTGGTGGGAGGATACAAATATTGTTATGGCTACTCTAAAAGATTCCTTTAATCTGAGACCTTTTGTATGGTTGTCTGAAATACTCTGCACAGTGTAGATGTCAGTTTTAAAACTGACATTATACATACCAAACTACAACTGTTAAGGTATAACATTTTATTTAAAGTTCAGCTTGAGATTCAACACAGATGCGTGTGATAAAAAGTATTATTTGCCTTTAAAAATTAAGATTGTATATAAGATAGTAGATTACAAAGATAGTATTTCATTAAAGGAATAAAGATTTTAATAAAGATTGTGTTTTTGTTATGGTAAAAATACAATGAAAAGCAGATACATGTTTTCAATGAATCTTTTAAAAACTTAGTATTTCATATGGCAATTACATTTCATTACCTTATAAAAACAATTGGTAGTAAGTGATGAAGTAAAAACATCACTGTAGTCAAACCAATTCAGAGAAATTGGCTTTCAAAACAACATGGAAACAGACTTTGGTGCTATACTGTATTTTGACACCTTTCCAACAAGTTCAAGCAAGTTACAATAATGTTGAATTCTCATAGGTATGGTTAACATGAAAACAAATTATTGTGGTTACAAATAGGACAGTTGACAAGGAGGAAAAGCTGCAACAGAAGTAGAAAGCCACACTTCGTAGAAAAAAACGATTTTTTTGGCTCATACTACAGTAAGAAAAGTGTCCTGACGTACGACATGGAGGGGCAGCCAGTATCTGGAAGTAATTATGGTCAGTTCAAAATGAATAAATTCCATATTACCTTGCTGGATGTCTGTAAAGGCAGTTTGTGGAGGTATTTTGGTGAGGTTTACTTTTTGGAGCTTAGCAACATAAATTTGTTGTCACAGAACTATTAAATACAATAGACACATGTTGGCAGGGAGCACACAGCAGAGGAATGGAACTGATTAAAGGCAAGTCCATGAAATAATAATGTAAATGGGCCCAGTGCAGGATTTCAATATCCCATGACAACACTCAATTGTCGATAAATGCTACAGTGTCCAGGATGCTCCTCAGATAATGCCAGAATTCCGGGATTTATTTCCTTCTGCCTGCAGTCTGAAACAGGAAATACCAGTAAACTGTGGGAATCCATACAGGAAATAAAAAATGGGTAGGAAGAGGAGGGCTGCTTGGAAATTTTTATGAGATGCTGCTTACTCTAAATCTATAACAAATGTCCTTCACCCACACACATTCAAATGGCAATGTGGGAATTTAATTGAATACTTTTCTGTTTTTTTTTCATGTGATTTAAACCCAGGTAGGGTTTCATACAATAACATGTGAGCACCTGGTGAACAAGTTAGATGATACTTAACAGCAATAAATCATGATTTTAATAGATATGCAGCAGGGATATTTACTGCTCCAATTGTCCAATTTGGAAAGCATAAAAAAGTGAAACACTGCTTAAGTCTTCAAACTGAACCATACAAAAAAATAGAGTGAGAGAAAGGAAGAAAGGCAAAAACAAGAAATCCAATATTTCTTAAAAATTGAAGGGCAATTCAAATAGACAAAAGCATCATGTGTTTAATATATGCTTAACCTTTATATGTTATAGGGTAGCTCTCTCTTTTAAACAAAATGTATCCATCTGCCTCTGTTCTCCTACAGTTTCAAATGGCATTTCTAAAATTATTTTATGATTTTTCTTAGTTTAAAATTTACACTGCACTTTAGTTCCCTTTGTGCAGAAAATTATGATGTTATATTCAACCTCTAGTATAGCCGGCCCCTGCTTAATTTTATAGCAGGGTATCATAATATTTCACCTACTGTGGGCAGGTTGTGTCTAACATTGTCATAAAATGCACATAGCCTGTGACACATGCAGTACATTGCAAATTACATGCTATTACATTTCTTCAAATAAGTTACTCTATATAGAGATTGTACAATATTTTGGAGGATATTTTGTTCAATATTTCCCCGTAAATCACGATTGCACTTTTTTTCTAACACAAATGTAATAAAAAATTCCTTGAAAAAGGTCAGTAAGAAAGAGGTTTAGATACTTTCAAAAATTTGTGGTGATACATTTTCATGTCAAGTGCCACCGCAATATGGTTGGAAAATCTCTAGACAGACTAGATGTAGAATAGCGTGACTCATGTAAATATGGGCATCTCAAATCATCCCCGTCAACACAACTACTGTATTTATCTCCCATGGGGAGTAATAATGGCTGGGCACATTTTGTTTTTAATACCCCATTACAGTCCTATCAAGAACGTTTTGCTTGCTTGAGCTGACAACTTGAAATGTAGAAAAAAGCTAATGTACACAATGCTCACTAACAAAAACAATCATGGTGGTTATAAGAAAGGGTGTCTGCTTTGTACGTGTTTGCGGCAATGTAAATGTAATGGTAATCCGCAATAGTAAAAAGATTAATTATTATTAAATTAAAATAGGAATTCTCGCAGGCTGCAAACAACAGAAATAAAAGGGGAATATGAAGTCAATGAACATGACAATTGATAGCCATGATAGTTTGATAGTTCTTATATAAATAAATGGATCATCAAGGATTCATCCCCATTAACTGTCAGAAAAAGTTAAATTGTAAAAGGGGCCTTGCTCATGTGAGGTGACTCTCCGTTCGAACAGATACAGATCTCCTAAAACCCCATTTCAGACTGATTCCCTATTCCCTAAAGTGAATCTCTACCCACTGCTAGCCTGGTAACACACAGACAGTCTACTGTAAAGACTTTTGACAATAAAGTAAATTTTTAATGTTGATAATATATGTAGCCCCAATGCAGCTGAAAGGTTTAATGAGGGTAAGGTTTCATGCACGGATGGATGATTCTGGAGCCAGCACATGGAGTCTCCATGGCTGATCCATGAATGTTAGCGAAGTGAAGCTGGGCATCACCTGTGATACGAAACAGTACATAGTGTAGATACCCTAACAAGCACTTCTGAAACAGGGCTCTTGTGTAAATGTGGACAGCTGTTGCAAGCTATTTCTTGTGTTGCTGTAGCGTTTGCAATACATAAGATAAAATATAAGCATGCTTGCCAAATGCAGTAGCTAGCCTATCTACTGCCATAGGTTTTATATCTGAATGCATTTATAGAATCTTTCTATTGAAGTAGCTGATTGTCTGAATGAATGACACACTACTGTAACCTCCAATCAACCAGTCACAATTTCTTTCAATTGAACTTTGTGTTTGGCTGTCAATAAACTCTTTCTTCATTTGATATCAGTGAATGTTTTTTGCCCATTTGTCTGCTTGTCTGTCCCTAATTAAATTCCTGTTTATTTACCACTGTATGTAATTATTCTACCACCATTAATGTATTACCTGTGTTGCACAGAATCTAGGCTGAAATTACTTTGAGGACCAGAGAATTAATTCCTATGTTAGTCATCAATATCAAGGTTCTTAATCAAGATCACAGCACTTCACTTTCAATGAAAGGGAGTTCTGTAGTTAGAGCACAGGTATACATTGCCTAGTAAAACTAAATTTTCCTGTTTTGTGAAACTAGAAGACAATACATACACAGTTGTTTGTTACACAGGATATATTCCTATAATGTTTTTGTGGCAAAATAAATAGCCAAAACATTACTTCTTCAACTACTGTATCACAATGCCTAGCCTAGCATTTAACAATACTCAATTAATCAAACTGAACTTTAGGACATGGAGAAAGACTGTGGGCCTTTATAATTTCCAGTGTCAAACTTTCTGTGCTGTTTGGATGGGACAGTTGTGACTGGGATTTTAGTAACAGCCCTCGAAGTCCTTGTGCATGACAAACAAGCTGGACATTATACTTCATCTATTAGGACTTCCCTCTTATCATCGTGCCAAGCAAGGTCCTTGCCAGGGTAATTCTAAGCCACTTGGCATTTCTCATGGCATGTGACTGGGAAAGACCTATTGTACTGTAGGATCAGGCTGGGATAGTTGAGCACAGATGCCACTATTAGTGTCCAATGACAGTGTGAGTTTTCACAGTTAATGTGTTGCACCTCTGCTCGGTAATTTCAGCCAAGGCATAAAACACATTATACAGTAGGTACCAGCTATGTGCCATCAGAGCTCCCGAATACATGCTGAGGCTATGTACACTGACTGACAAAAGTTGGAGCCATTCTCTTTACATTCCCCCATCTGAGTAATACTCAGACAGGCTAGTGTCCAATCAATGCTTCCAGCTGGAAAACAGGCTTTATGTGAAAAAAAAAATAAAGATCTATGTGCATCATTACATATTAGCCACTATAATTATTTAGTAGTTTAAATCATTGTTACCAGTAATGTCATAAACTATGTGAAAATTGTCTTTGATAACTTGTCAGGCATACACCGTCCATCTATATTTTAACCAATTCTTCCACTTCAGAGCCTACACCAGCAAGCAAAGGTTGCAAGGCAGGTTACATCCAATATGGGACTCTAGTCCATTGCAGGGCAGATGCACAGACACAAACATGGACAAGCACACACTCACATCAGGGCAGATTTCCCAGAGGCCAACCTTTAAGCTACCAGTATGTTTTTAAACTGTGGAAGGAAACTGGAGCACCCAGAGGAAATCACACAAACATGTGGAGAACATATAAACTCCACACAGACAGCACCCCTGGTCTGGAATTAGAGCCAGGACCCCAGTGCTGCGAGGTAGCAATGCTAATCACTCTGTCACAGTCATGAATATACATTGGATGATATCAAATGCCCGCTATTTTACCTTCCTGCAAACAAGACATAAAGTGAGTGTCAAAAGAGTAAAAAGAGAGAAAAGCAGAGATAAGGAGTGGAACAGAGACAGAATGGAAGCCAGAGAAAAAGACATGGGCGACGGGTTGTGTGCATAAACATGAAGGATGTGCAGCAGGGAATGGTATGAGTCCCAGTATTGGGGTTTAGCAGAAGCCAGGCCTCAGGGAGACACTCCTCTAAGGGGACAGCATAAGGCTGCCTGGTGGCACACAGAGAAATGACTGTGAAATCCATCTGGAAAGGCCACCCTCCAAGCTTGCTAACAGATCCCACACAAAGTGAGAAGAGTATATATAAATATTTTCATTACAGATATTAATATTGCCGTTATAATAAAGATATAATAAAGATATTGTGCTATAAGTGCTTTCGTTCGTTATTAATCTGATAATAATTTAGATTGCAGCACACAAGTGGAAAAAAGGTACAAAGTTTGAAGCATGTTATTAAAGCACCTTGCAAAAAATGGATTAACTCATACATAACACGACAGCTAAGGTCCATGTTTCTCAATGTTTCGTATTTTACTGAAGGCCTAGTATTTTTTAATCCTTTGATGAGATTTAGTTACAATGAGGTCTGTTAGCAGGTGCCCTGAGACTAATGACACACAAGGTGAAGAGAAGCCACTCAGCTTACTAACAATCCTGCCTCTGTCCTGCAAATGAACCTGTAGTTATTAAAGTGAGACAGGCAGAGCCATTCATCTTCCCTCTTCCAGTATTTCCTTAAATAATCGGATTTAAAGACTGAGCTGTGTAATTACTGTAAATATGCCATATCATGAATAATAAATAAAACTGCTTTAAAATGCCTTTTAAAGCAATCCATAATGATTTTTAACATATCAAACGACATTATTAGTGTGTTGATTCTGCATTCAGCATATGACTTTGGTACAATAATGTTTTATTTTATTCACCTTACCTAAATGCAGGGGATTACCTGAGTGTAGTTAATTAGCAATATATAGTAATAACTTAATCATGGATTCATATTAATCATGCTCAGAGAGCTTGAAAATATGCTGTTTCTATGAGTAGTTTTATTTTAAATTAAGCTGGAAAAATGTTTAAAATGAGTATTTATTCAGTGAAATTGTGCTTTATTTCTTCTGACAAACTTTTTAACCCATTCTGGTCTATACAGGAAATTTCTGTCTCTGGTGGTGATAATGTAACATAGCCTCAGGCAACATTTTCCAACAACTAGTTACAGACTTCCTGGAGATGCAGCATTTATTTTAAAACCCAGGGGCTGTGCTAGACCTCACTGTAAGGAAAATCTGTTAAAAATCAAAAGTTCATAGTAGTGAAAACAATAGAAAAGACAATACAGTATGTCTGGGTTCTTTGAAATAATAT